TTGCTCCCCCACAAAGGGCTGGGACTGTTCTGGGTGACCTGGTATCCTCTGGCTTCTCTGGAAAGGCTGCCAGCATTGTCTTAGAAATGCAGCACAAAGGGGACAGATTCCCAGTGGTTTTTCCATTCCCAAGGACATGCACCAACATTTTCACCCAGGGATGTTGTTACCACTAGCAGCCCCCTCGGTCCACCCGGTCCTGGGCCGGCTCAGCGCACTCCAGTGGGACACCGATAGAAGTCACCCCACAGGGCCAGAGGCGGCAGTGGAAGAGTCCCGCCCTCAGTGCTGCCAGTGGCCAGCAGGGCTCGGCAAGGAGCGATCGCAGCCGCTGGCCCCGCTGGCTCCTGGTGAGGAGCAGCGCCTTTCTGCTGTGCTCAGGGAGGCAGGCAGCAGAGATCCTTCTGCCCACAGGCAGGCAGGCAGCCCTTGCTCCTGCCGCACAGACCGGACACTGCTCACAGTGAACATCCAGGGCCTCTGCTCGGGCTTCTGCATTACTCCCCAGGACAGCCATGGGAACCCGGAGCAGGGGCTTTCCTCTGCTCTGCAAACATGGGGACCCCAGGGCCAAGGTGCTCATGCAGACCCTGACTCAGGAAAGAACAACCAGAAGGGGTTTTACCTTTACTTTCTAGAAGCTTGGATATACAATGTAAAACTGAGTCTTCCAGCTACAGAATTTCACTGAGCTTCTAAAGGGTTCCTGCTTGTGTTACAAAGTCATTCCACACAATCAGCAGTTCAAGCTCCACAGAGACAGGAGAAGGGAATGCTGAGGTCCTGGGCACTTTCACGTGCTCCCCACAGTGGCTCAGTGTTGAGATAAGGAGCTTGTTTGACAGGATTCAGAACCTCTGGAGTTGAGGCCCAGCAGACAGGGTAAAAGCTTGGACTGGACACCCTGACTGCAGCCTCAAGGGATGCCAGGTTCCTACTTGATGAGTGAGTGAGTCAGAAAGAGATTTGCTCAGTTGCCCTGAGGGGCTGGAGGTGTGAGGTGGGTTGGAGCTGGCAGGAGGCCTCTGGGAAGAGACTGTGGGCTCCAGCTAGTCCCTGGGGACCCGTTGTGGCCCCAGGAGCTGACCCAGCTGGTCCAAGCCCATGGTCAGAGGCTTCTGAGGCACAGAGTGGAGAATGAGCCCTGCTCCTGTCACAACTGGACTTCATAGCTGTGTTTGCAGAGACAACCTGGCAGGGGGACAAACAAGGCAGAGCAACACTCACAGCCAGGGGAGTGCATGGATCAGCCCCATGTTCCCATGGGATCAGCCCCTCTCATCCCTGTCTCCATCTGTCTCCCCGAGCTTGCTCCAGGCCAAACTGCCTTGATCCTTCCCTTGCCTTGTCTCTGCTGCTTCCCCTAAACATCCCATGTCTTGCACAATCCCCAAATACTATTCTGCTGCATCCCATGAGGAGTCTGATGCCCTTGGAGGAGGGAGAAACACCCCTGAGCTCATGAGGGGATCCTCTCTTCTCTCCCTTCTGGGAGTTGTCATCTCCAGACAATGGAGACTCCCTACAGTGGCTCCTCCTGACAGAGGAGTGCAGTCCCAAGCACGCCTGTCTGAGAAGAATCTCTTCTCCATTCCCTGCCATCAGCTGGACATTATCTGGGGCATGTTGAGAGTGGAGGCAGGAGCATGAAGGAAGGAGAGACTCCTAGGAACATGGCCCTGGGGTCAGCAAGGATGGTTGCATGTTAGAGATTAGGGCTTTATTTCTCCTCATATTGGAAATGCAGAAACCATCATTTTCCTGTACCAGTGTACAGGGCCCCCAGGGCCCCCGGTGAGGAAACATTCAGAATTTCCTTGATGAGGGAGCCCCCCGTGCTGATGCTGTTGGAGGAGGGAGAAACCCAGAAGGAGCATTTCAGGCACAGCAAGAACAGATCACTTCTCCTCCCCGCTTCTGCCTTTGCTCCCCCAACACAGTCGTTTCCGGCAGCTCTGTTCTCTCAGGGCTGGGAGGTGGTTTTCTGACTCTCACTCCGCAAACAGGCAGGTTGGTCTCACCATGCACCTCGGACCCCTCGTCCTCATGGCTTTCCTGGGGCAACTGCTGGGTAAGTCCTGGGTTCTCTTCAATGCATCCCTCACCATCTCTCAAGGAAACCCTTACCAGCCTGATGAGGATCATGCAGAAAATTACTCTTGAATGACAGGTTAAAGCTGGGAAATGTCACCTCACATGTGTGGGTTTGCATGGATTCCCTCCAGATACTCTCACTGTTCCAAAGGAGAGAGGAGACATCCCTCAGACAACTTCTGCTGCTTCTCTCTCCTCTGCAATCCATCTCTCTCTGCCTCTCTCCTCTCATCCACCTGCTGTCACCACAGCAGATCTCAGCTGTCTCTGCAGACCCACATTTCTCCCTTTCCCACCCAAAGGAGCAGATCCTCTCAAAGCTGTTGCAGGGACTGTAAAGCTCTCAACTCTGGGACATTAACAGGGTGTCCCGCTCTGCCTCCTGGCTGGCACATGTCTGCCGTGGCTCCCAGTTTTCTCCTGCTTGTCGACACAGCCAGGGCTCCCTCTTTCCAAGCTCAGCACTGTATATCCTGAGGGAGCCAGGAGCCCCCAGAGAGAAGAGGGTTGAAGGGATAGGGAAGCAGGATGAATCCTTTTCCCGTGGCTCCATGGGCCACTTCACCTGACAGAGGGGTGCTGGTCCCAGCACACAAAGGGCAGAGAGGCTGTTCCCTGGTGCTCTGGGCAGTTGGAGCAGGAGCAGGGAGGAGGAGAAGGGACACAGCACAACTCTCCTTGTGGTCCACGCTGGGCTGAGAGCTCTGAGCTCCTCCCCAAAACTACTCTCCACTTGGCTGTCCCCAGGCCTCAAGATTTTCCTGTTGGGGAATGGACAGGGAACCTTCTCTACCAGTGTTTTTCCATCCACTCCTTGTTTGCTTCGCAGAGACTTTCCCTGCAGAGCTGCTGACCTTCCCTTTCTTCCAGGCACCATGGGGCAGACCACCGTCACCGAGCAAGAAGGACAAGTCACAGTGAAGCAGAGAGACACCTCCACATGCCAGACCTCCAACTTCTATGGCTTGTTCTGGTACCAGCAGAAGAAAGGCCAAGCTCCCCAGCTGGTCTCTTCTCAGGCAGGAGCTGGCCTCAGGCAGAGCGGCCGTTTCACCACACGGCTGAACACCACGAGGAAATACAGCCTCCTGCAGCTGGAGGAAGTTGAGGTCTCTGACAGTGCCTTGTACCTCTGTGCTGTGCAAGACACCCTGGTGCAGGGAGCTTCCTCGTCTGGGTAAGAACCCACAGGAGGGAGGGGTTGTGTCTGTGCAAGGCTGATCTTTGGGGGAAGGGGCCCTCAGCTCTCCTCTGGCAGTGCTGCTGTCCCTGAACACCCAGGGATCTGCAAGACAAGATCCTGCGATGTAATATTTTAGTCTGTTCCATATATCAATTTATGCAGACATCGTCTTCAGTATTTCCATACCGCACTAAATAAAGGCACTTTCTTCCTATTGCCACCACATGGGAAGCTCTGCTGCCTGGTAAAGTGCAAGCAGGACACACATGAGTCGTTGTATTTATAAGTTAACAAATTGTTCCTCTTGACCGCTATAAATAATCAAAGGCAGACCCATTCTCCCTGACAGCAACTGGGTGTGTCTTATCTTGAGATGGAGCCACTTTTGTTCGATCATGTTGTTTCCTCTTGAACTTCATCCATGGCAGTTGATGTAAAGAGCTGCTCTACCTTTTCCTTCTCCTATCTATTGCTATGGCAATAAACCAGAACAAATGCAGACAAAGAAAGGCTCCACCCAGGCAGCTCCCAGCATGGGACGTCTGTGGGCCCCCACTCCCCTGTTGTCACTGAGCAGGCAGCCTCCTATCAGTAACCATCATTGTTTCCTTGGGAGCTGCACACCCAGTCCCCAGAAGGAAACTCCAGGCAGCTGGTGACCTGAGCCCACAGCAGAACCTGTGAGTTTTTAAATTCCAGGTGCAAGTGGGTAGGATAGACCCAGAAAGCAAGAGCAGGGGGGCAGGAGTGAGGATGACCCCAGCCCAGGTCAGGCAGTGCCCACACCAGGAGGGTGCACAGTTGCAGCTGCTCCTGGGTGACTGTTCCCACCATCTGCTGCAGGAGGAAAGTGGCTGGGCACAAGCAAACCAGGACATGGCTGGGCCACATGGAAGACAAATTTTTGATGCAAGTAATACCTGAATGGACTAGGGGAGAGGCTCTGTTGGACCTGCTACTCATAAATGAGGAAGAACATTTGGCTGACGCAAAGTTTCTCTTTGGGTTTCTCCTCTACGGCCAGAGGGGAAGGGAGAGCATGTGTGATACCTGGGTCCAGGCACTTCAGTGTGTGCCTCGTCCTGTCTCCATCCCGACAGTCCCAGGGACAGGGTGGACACAGGTGGGTGCAGGGGTGCCTTCTCCGCATCCTGCAGAGCTGGGGTTGAGGCAGGTGCAAGTGGCTGGGTGGTGGATGTCCAGAGGAGTTCCCAAGGGATGCCTGTCCCTCTGATGGACAGTACTTGAATCATGAGTTTGTTGTCTCTCTAGAGGGAATTCTTGTGATAGAGGGTGGGGGTCAGAGCCAAAGAGGGATCTGTCTGGAGCAGCAGGGAGTGATTTTTGCTCCACCCTCTGCGCTGTGGTTTGGAGGTCTCTGTGCTCTGGCAGAGGCAGCAGAAGAGGGGAAATTGCAAGCAGCAGGTCCCTCATGCTGGCAGGTCCTTGGGCACCCCACAAAGGGAGAGCATGACATGGTCCTGATTTTCCTGGAAGCCTTGCTGGAACTGGCAGGCTTTGGTGAGATATGACATTCCGACTGGGGAGAATGGGGCGAGAGATTGGGTGGGGGCTGGTGGAAGGAGGAAGCCGTGAGTCCTGACTCCCACGGGGGATCTGGGAGTGTTTCTGTAGGGAGAGCAGGGGCTGCAGATGGGAACGGCAAAGATTCAGGGAGATGTCAGGGGTAATGGGCATCAAAGGAAGAATAAGACCTCAGCCTCAATTTGCAGGTGCTGAGCATTCCTGAATGTGCTGCTCATATGGATGAAGCCTGAAAGAGGGAAAGATGGGAGGGAATGGAGCAATGCAGCACACATGAACTTCTCTCCTTGGTGTGTTAGATAAAATTCTACCCATCTCTGTAGGGATGGTGGTAGATCTTGGTGACAAAGGCTTGTCTAACTAAATGCAAGAAGAGCTGAAATACCACAGAAGGACAGTGGATGCAGTGGGTTGTATGGAGGAACCGTTTTAGCAAGAAGACACAGTCAGAGGCGGGAGAGGAACAGCTCCTGTGTTCTGCTGCTGAAGGAGAGACCAGCAGGTAACACAGCTCAGAGGCAGCTGTGGAGAGAATCAGTGGACTGAAAGACCAGTGAGTATTGCTGAAAAGCAGGATGATGTGGGGGGTGAGTGTCGGCAAGATCCTGCAGCAAGAAGTGTGCAGGGCCAAAGAGCTCAGCCTTTCAGAAGCTCGGAGAAGGGAGAGGGAACTGCTCTGCCTAGTGACCATTTTGAGGGGGCTCCCATGTAAGTGAAGACACATGGGCCACAGAAATGGGCCACAGAAACACTGCTGCATTCCT